CGCCCCCTGCCGGCGGGGAGGCCCGGCCGGGGCCACGCTGGGCTGGGTCCCCCGAGGCGCCCCACGGGCGCGGCATCGCTCGGGCGCAGGCGGCACCGGGACCCCCCCACGCTCCCCCTCCGGGGGCGGCGGCGACGTGAAGCCTTTCACGTGTGGGGCTTCGGTGGGAATTTACTCCCTTGAGTGAGCGTATATTTGAAGGTCTGCAAGTTTCCGTGTCATCCGCAGACGTCGTTAGAAACATTCAAGCCAAACCACAGCTTTCTGAAGGCCGCGGTACGGCCGAGGTTATTTGTACCATCGTAGCCTCGTTTCTCTTTTGTGTATGGCAAACCTTGTTCTGCTGTCAGTCACGGGCTCTTTGAAGTTTTGCTCTGAAAGCCAAACGTACAAATGGCATCGCTGGGGATTTGTGTGCCACGCAATGTGGCCGCTTCCTAAATGCAATTACAGATCAAACTAATTTTCCTAATTGTCAAAGAGTCAGCTTGGAGGTGAAAGCTCAACTCAGCTGCATTTGACTCGTTTATCATCATCAATAAAGTTTCTGTCATCGGGATTTAGTTTACAATACTAGGGATTGCCTCCAACAGGACAGGCTCCATCTCAGACCAGCTTTGCAGTATTAACATGAGCAAAAAGTCTGAAACCCGTGCTCTGGGAGGAATCCTGACTCCGTGTCTTACAGTTTTACTAGCCTGTCCTTCAAAGAACAGAGGTATCAAATATATTTGACAGCTGTCTGGTGAAAGTTAAATTTTAACAGTAGTTCTTTTCACACATGAAATATGAAGTAAAAGTTGACCAAGAAAATGTTTGACCATTTCAGTGTCCAACAACCATAGGCATGATAACATGTGCCAAAAATCATCAAACTTCAGGAAAGAAATAAAAAAAAAAACATATAAATTAAAAGAAAATGTGAAAAGTCAAAGTGAATCTATCAAGATGGTTATAACTATGGCACAAACCTACAAGGTCACATTGACCAGGTTCCCAAGAAGGCTGGTTGTCTAGAACACAGGCAAAGCAAAGCAGCTTATAGCAGTAAGGGGAAAACAAACAAACAAACAAACAAACAAAAGTTTCCAACATACAATATGAACTCAAAGCACTGAAATTTTCATGAACCTCTGGGCTGCAACAGTTCACAAAATTATGTTTGCAATCCACTTATGTCTCTTATGGTGGGTAAAAATAAAGTCTTTTTTTTTTTTTTTCCTTCAGTTTGGATCCCCAGGCATCAGGATGATAACAAGTAACTGTAGGGACTAACTGCATATATTGGATTCAAATATGTCACTCAACTGATTGAAAGGCTCCACTGATCTAACAGGCAAATGTCTTCTATTATCCTTTCCTTTCTTTGTAGCTTTCAGCTACAGCTTTGTAGCTTTTTTTTTTCCCTATCTAATTGTATTCCTCGAGTTCAAAGGGGTAGCCAGTGTACTTCTTGAAAACAATGCTTCTTACACTGGGCTAGACAGCCCACTTTTAGCTTACTAATGCAACTAAAAACTTGTTGAAAATGAAAAACTCATTAGCCAATCACATTACATCCCAATTAATAGCAAATTGTCTTCTTCTGATAGCAAGATAACTGATTAAAGCCCTGTAATACACCGTAAGAAGCCTGTCTATCTGGGGTCTAATTTGCTTCTCCTTCTCTCTAGCAGGAATCCCAGAGTACCTGGAGGAGCAGAAGGTAGAATACGAAGTAGCTGATGTGTGTTGAAGGACTCCCATTAGCTGTCCAGGCCATTAGAGCCATTCAGAACAGGAATGAAGTGTTCGATCGCCTCATTGAAGATGAATCCTATTAGCAAATTAATGCCGTTGTAAGCCCAGAGAACAGATCCATTTCAAACTAGTTAAACAGTGAGTAAAGCCTCAACAATTTCATTTACCTAGAACAGTTCCTCTCTGCAGGAGTCACAGTGGGATGTGGAAGAAAAGACCCTGCATGTGAAGAGATATTTGCATCAGGTAGTTCCAGTAAGAAGCTACTGAATGGCAAGAAGTATTTGTGTCAAAAAAATCTCAGGAAGAAGGAAAAGTCCTTAGACATGGGTTTCCTCTTTAGGTTAATAGTTGTGGTAAAATGGAAATTGAGTATGCTGTGTTATCTTACTGTATCTGTTGCCTGTCAGTTCTGCTTGCAGCAGACCACGGCTGGCTCCGGGAGAAGGCAGTTAGGTTGCAAGAAAGGTTCCAGCCTTGGTTCATAAATATTTCCTGGTTTACAGCATTTAGACTCTAGGTCTTGTAAGCAAAGGGAGTAAGCACCCAAGGGGAGCTGATGTCCAGTTAAATCCAAATGCTATATTTTTACCCTACTAAGCCACACACATTGCTTAGCAGTCATTCCAGGAGTAAGTGTGGCCAATATATCCTCTAGATCTTCAGCTTGAGCTCCAGGGATGACAGCTGCAGAGATTCTTGTCTCTGATACACAGGAAAACAGGGAAAGCTTTTTCCCTTTTCCTCAGGTATTATTAGCATGTGCCCCTCTCTTAATGATCACAGTGATGCTTGAAGCCTGAAGGTGCTTTTTTATTGACATTATTTAGTTAAACAGGTTAGGCCCTATCTCTGTAGCATGTGAAGTCCAAAATTTAATCAGTAGATGAATCCTTATACTTAGCAAATGGATCTAGATTTGGAAAACCTTGTGCAAGTTCAGTGCCTGGGTACACATTATTAGTTTTCTTAATTAGGCCTCACTGGATCACTAAGCTTTCTAATATCACATAAATTGTATCATCTAAGTTGTTAGTCTATTAACATTACAAGGAAGGTGTTTTTTTTTCTTTTTAGAAAGAAAAGCGATCATTAAAAAATTGTTCAGTTGGTTGGAGAAAGTCGAAAATGCAGTTTCTTTTTTCCTATATTGGCTGAGTCCATGCCATGTAGGAAGTCCCACCCCCAGTGCCCATCATTGCCATGATCCAAGTTCATACTAGAATGAGACTGAGATGCACATAGTGCCCCACAGGCTTTGGGAGGAAACTGGAGCAGAGTCAGGAGTTAATGGTGCTCCCCAATAGTCACCATCATCTAAGCAATCAGGAATCAGGACAGCGTGGTGCATATGAAATATGTACAGCCTGGTATGGGGTCTCCAGCAAATGCCAGAAAGAGTCCTTGCTGAATAGCAATTACTTAAAGGAAAAAGAAAAGTAAGAGAATAACTACTTCGCTAGTTCTTCTGTGGCTTACATCTAGTTTGTCACTAGATGCTAAGCCTCGCCTTGGTATCCTTTCCCAGCTGGCTGTGAAACTCATTTTACATGAAATAGTCGAAAGGCCCCCCAGCCCTGCTGGGGGATGCTGCTCTCTCCCTTTCGGTGTGCTACAGCCAAAGCACTAATCTAGTCTGCCTCAACATGGCAGTACGCTTGCTCAAAACTATTCACCAACGCAATAGTTCTAACAAGGATAACAGCATCTTTACAAATACAGTTTCACCATGATGCCCAAGTATCCCATTTTAGAGACCAGAAGCTAGAACAAAGAGATTTTGAATGACTTTCCAAAGTCCCCTAGTAGAACCAGGCAGATTCATAACCGAGTCTGTGCTTCTGACTGCTAGTAAAGAGAAAATCAGAGGTATATATCCTCAGGCTACAGGCTACAGTTTGCTCTTTGCATCAACAGCTTTGTTTTAATATTTCTGCCACGTATATATGTAAAATGGCCATAAATACTCAGAGAAAATGAATTAATTGTAAGCTAAAATACTGAACTGTGAAGTATGGCCACAGGGAATGTAGCACACAAACTTCTCTGACAGTTACACTATGGGGACAGTAATCTGTAGCAGAGGAGTGGAGTAAACAGGTGAGGTGGAAATAATCTCTTAAATCAGAGCGCATCAATACTGAAAAGATTTTTGGTTAGTTGCAAGGCAAAGCAAGTTGCAAGTTGCAAGCCAAGCTGAAGGAAATACGGGGTTTTTTTGGTGATCAATCCATACTGAATCCTTTGTGCAGTAAGCAGCCATAGAAAGGTTTTGTGGAATTAGTATTATAAATCACACATTCAATCCCTTTGTGAGTGTAGAAAGCATTGTCATTCTTCTAATCACTATATCCTATCTTTGATCCATAACAAATATGCACACCCAGCTCTACTAATCTCCATTATGATTGTGAGATATCTGTATTTGCAGTACTATGCCAGCAGAAATAGTTAAAATTTTCCTTCCTCCTATGATTTTGGGCTTTGCTTTTTTTTTTTCCCTCCCAACTGAAACACATTCTTTAAATAATGGCATTTCCTTTATAATTCAAAATAAAAATAAATAAGAAGTTGGAAGCAAGATGGAGCCCTTTTATTTAAAACCATATTTATAATGAGAAAATCATTACAATGAAACAAATATTTGGTCATTTGGAGTGATCATGAATCCCAGATTTATTTTTTAGTATGATGTGACTGTAATGTTTCCAGATATGTGCCATTTTATTATACAGCCCAAGAGAAATTACATGAGTTACTTTTAGAAGCCCATCACACATAGCCTTTATTATAGGCACAAGGTCAGAGACACTCCTGGCTTTGAAGAAGGCTGTAAGCAATAAACGGAGAAATTACAGCTAAACACCTGCCAAAGTCTTTGCTGGGCTCAGCCCTTTACTTGCTTTAGTTTTAAAATTTGATCATATTATCTCTGCTCTCTGTTGTCTTTCAGTTAATACAGCAGATTTTCCAGTTGGCTATTCCGGTCCAACTCTTCTGTTCTCTTAGGACAACAGCTTGCCTGTGGATACACAGATGTAGATATATATGTGTGTGTTTGTAGATCTCATAGGTTTCACAGCTGAAGACTCGGTGTTGGGGGACATAGAAATCCCATTTAATCACAAAAAAAATCTTCACATCGTATCAGTTTCTTCAGCAAAAGGAAATGCCCTGCAAAGGGTGAGGAGGGGTGTCTGCAGAGGCTGAAGTTCCAGCTACCACTAAGGGTAATGTTAAAAAAGATTTAAAGGATTTCTGGCACAGGATGGATGGTGATCCTTGATATTGATCCTGAAAAGGGGAAAAGGATTGTTTGTTCAATGGGCAATAGGAAAGCTACCTGATCCGGCTATGAAATTGCTGGGATGGAAGAGAGGATCTCTCTCTTTTGGAGGAACTGAAGGAAAGGTCAGGTGTTGGATTCCCTCCCAATCATCGCACCTTAAGTCACTACCTAAAAAGGAGTAAACCTGAAACCACATGCACTGCAGAAATACTTTGGCAGCTGCCTTGTTGACTGGGGAGGGGTGGAGGAGGAATGAATTAAATCTGATTCTTCCTTGTCTCACCAGTAGTTGCAGAGAACTGCACAAACGTGACACCAGAAGGGAAAGCACATGGTGAGCTAAGTGACCTTCCTGATGTCATTCCCTTAAATCTGCTCAGCAGGGAGATTCACCCTTGAAATGCTTGAAGCAGCAGCAGAAGCTTAGGCCAACTGCTGGGAGGACCAACCACTCTCCAAAATACTGAACAGCTGCTGCCCCTCAGGAGTCCTAAAATGTTACCAAATCCAGACCTTCCTCTACTTTCCCATAGATGCTGGTTGACTATCCAATTTTATGGGTCTTGTTTATGATTTTAGGGTTTTACCAGTTGATATTCACATTCTCACATTTCACTGTAAAACTACAGGACGTGTTACATAGGGCCTCCGGGCATCCTTTTCCAGGGCAATCATCATTTTTGCTATACACAGGTTAGTGTATGTCCCCTGATGGAGTAAATGGCCAAAGTGTTTCTTTATATGTGTGATCGTGCTGCCACGCATCCCACAATGGCTAGGTGTCCGTGTTAATATAGCTCAGGAAAATGTGCAGTTAATTCAGCCTGAATTCATTTATGCTCTAGGAACCGCAAGCTGGGTAAAGCTGTGGAACTGCTCCCTGGGGAGGAGTTTAAATAAGCCAGCCTTGATTTTGTACATTAGATTCTTCAGAGCTGAAGCCAGCCAAGAAAGCCATTTATGATGGATACTGGTCTCTCCCAATGCTTTTTTTGCAAAACTGCTGTGGAAAGAGAGACAGGGAAATGAATAATACTTTGCAGGTAAAGGAGAATGGAGCAAGCAATTTGAAAATATGGTGCTATGCAGTCAAAGAAGGGCAGCATTCCTCTGCTCTCTGTGACTCAAAATCCAAGTTACCAAAACAAGTCCACCTTCTGCGTAGGAAGGTCAGTTTGCAGAAGAACTGGAGTATTATATTGGCATGAATAGTACACGCAGTTGATCAGCTTTGCATCTCTTGTCCAATACAGCGATATTTGGTTTACATCAGTGAAACAGATGTTCTCACAGAGAACTCACTGCAGGTTTTGGAGAAGCAAGATTCATGGAGAGTGGAAATACCCTTTGTTCAACAAGCAGATATTGCTGGGGAAAAAAAAAAGAGCAGACTTTGGTCCATGAGGGCCAGCTTGAGCAACTTTAACAAGGAAGTAATTCTCAGATTCATGCAAAAGTGTCTCTCCTACCACGCTTTGTTTCTTATACCAGTTTATATAGATTAACTACACTCACTGTCTCAGTTTGCTTTCTTGCTTCCTTATACGTGTATTGCAAAAAAAACTGTGTATGTCCTGAAATACCATTTTTGCAATTTGGGTGAGATTCTAAAAAGTGGGTGCCATTGGGGTATACGTGTTTATCTCTGTGCATAATTGAATTATCATCTCCTCTGATACTGTTTCTTCCATACCATATTACTGCAGTTACTTTAAAACAAAACAAACCACACAAAACTTTCGAAGAGATATTGAGTAATTGCATAAGAATTGGCACACCGATTGAAACAAGCAACAGAAGCATTTCCATTTATGGTTCAGTAAATCATAACATAAATAAAACACCCAATAATTGAAATAAATACCTACATGGCTGCTCTTGAGTCAAATGAGAAATATCATGTGCCTTTATTTTTACATAAAGTAAGTAAAACACACCTGGCCAATCACGCACTGCAGTGTGGGCACCCTGCCAACTGGAGTTCTGCAAACAGCAGAACATACACACATCTAGCCCTACTAGCAAAAATAAAGTGATTGTATGCAATGGGTGGTGATTTGCCGACTTAAGAACTATTTTGTTACAGTAAAGAAAAAGCAAAAAAGAAAACGGAGGCTTCTTTACTCTCATCTCTTCAACCATCGGATATCAACTTATTCATAATTTTTCATTTTGTTATTTGTGTTTCTTTCTCCTTTAACTGTTCTGATACAGGAGTATTTTCGGGGGGGGGAGGTATTATTTTTTATGTCGGGAGTGTCACTCAAGTCACGACATGCTGAATGATGCCTAGAAAAATGAAATACAATGAATTGCAATGAAATTTAAGGAAAAAATAAATAAAAAATAAAATAAAATAAAGTAAAATCCGGCAACGGGAAGCCGCTACTGCAACGAGCCACACAACGCCTCCGGGGCCTCGTACAGCGCCCATGAAAGGCGCACCCTGAGCGTGACCCGCGAAAGCCCGGCAGGCCCGGCACCGCCCGGGAGCGCTCCCGGTGCCCCGGGGGCGCGGCCCCGGCAGGACTGGGCCTCCGGAGCCCCCTGCGCCCGGCGGGGGCGGCTGAAAGGGTGGACAACCCGCGGCCGAGAAGCAGGCAGCGGGGAGGCAGGGCCCGGCGGGTGGGGGTGCGGGACAGGGCAGCTGGAGGGCACGTCTGGTCCGCCCAGGAGGATCCAGACCCTGGGTGCCGGGGAGGAGGAGGTGCAGAAAGAAAAGGGGGTGCCCGCCTCCTACATCGGGTTGGTCGGGGGAAGGGGGTCGCTTGGCTGTTATGGTCGTAGATAAGAAAAGTTCAGGCAGAAAAGGCTCCAAAGCAAGTGTTGACCCCATGCAGTGCCCTCACCTGCCCAGGCGCTGCTCCCGAGGGAGAGGAAGGTGGACGCCACCTTACCGCACCGCACCGGCTCCGGGGGCCGGGGGCGCGGGAGCCACCGCCCCGCCGGGTGTGCTCCGGGCAGCGGGGGGACCCCCGCCGGCTCTTCTCATTGAGGGCTCAGCGGCAGGAGCACAGAGCCAGGGCGGCTCTGCCTGCGGGAGGGAGGGAAACAAGCCCCCCGACCCCGCCGCCGTCTCGGTGGGCTCCCTCCGGAGCGAGGGGCGCTCCCGGCAGCCACTGACACCTGCTCCCGGATCGCCCCGGCACCGCCCAGGCACCCGCCCCGTCCAAAGGACCGGGCTCTGGGCAGCGGCACGTTCCCACCCGATTACTGTTTGCCCGCTTGGGTGGGGAAGGATCGCGGGTTGGAAACAGGTGGGAAGAGGGATTTCCCACCGTCGGGAGGGGTGGATGAGTAAGGACAGGGAGAGGGTGGGAGAGGCTGAGGGATCCCACGGCGTTTGAGGCGACCCGCTGCGCAGCTCCCCTCCTCCTGTTGGGCCCGCCTGGAAAGCCAGGTACCAGCGACCTGGAGACAGATCCAGGGATAAGAAAAGGCGGATGAGGAGCAGGGAAGGCATCCTGATGCGGACACAGCCCCGCAGCTCCTTCCCGACCTGCCCCGCACAAGCACTGCCGAGAGATTCCCGGCCAGGAGCCGGTGGCGTTTAGGTAAAATCAAAGAAGACCCTGTAGGTTAAAGCGAGGGGGTGGCCGGGAGG